GTACAGCAGATTGGGGGGGGGGATGGGAAGCAAAAAAGAAAAAGAGAAGAGAAGAGAAAAGGAAAAGAAAAGAAAAAAGGATTCCCAGAACAGTGAGGGAACACAGCAGACATTAATATTTCTCCAAACACCTTCTTATTCTTGGATTTTTTTCAATTTAAAGGTGCTGGAGAAAGAATGAGGAAATATCCAGTATCATTATCATTTCCAAGAACGCTTGTGGATCCCACATAAGCATTTAGACATCTTAGCAAATAAAAATAATTAGTGGTTGCTGCTCCATGTTGTAGATGGAAGATCTCTGGATGTGAAAGGTGGGATAAAAACCATCTGCACTGATTTGAGTTCTGGCAAATAGATGTTTTGTGACAACCCATGCTCACAATGACAGTTACTTTGTAAGAATATTTATGACATATTCTCAAAATATGGAGGTTATGGTCACCTTCCAAAGGGTTTAGGGATTCCCAAGTTTGGCTGTGCAGCTTAGCTAGCTAGCTTTTCACAATGAGCCTATGGATTTCTAGTGAGAGATAAATTGTCCTTGCCTTAGAATCTTTCCTAATTGTCAGATTGTGCCTTTGGTGTTTACAGAGAGCCACAAGAAGATGGCTTTTTAAGGGCCATGGGAAACAGTTTTAGATTAAGGACAAATATCCACTTACTATCAGATTTATACATGCCCTTTATATTTAGCAGATCGATGACTAGAGAGTAACGAAGTATAAGATACTTGTGATGCATAGCTTGGCAGAGTAACTGAACAAAGGACAAACTATTTCGGAAAAAAACATTCTTTTCTTTCCACCATAAAAGCAAAAATCCCAGAGTGCATTGATTTTTTTTTCCTCTTGAAGGCTGAGTTTCAAATAAAAAGAAAGGCAGTTTGCCTTTTGCAGATCCAGTTCCTTGCTTGTAGGTCATACAACACCCTCTGGAATGTTGCAGAGTTGTTTGTAAATCCCTTGAGCAGCCAATATTCAGATAGTGAATTTCTGCTAGATCCTCCAGATGCAGAGGCTACCAACAAAACCCCATTTTGGGGCCACAAAAATAAAATACTATTAGCTATTTCTTGACAGCAATATAAATCTTTAAAACACTCATCTCCTTTTCTTTTCACTGAAAATAAAGAGCCTGTGTTCAGAATCCGTTTGGATCATCCTCAAGACTTCATCTGCATCCTTGCACTTTGAACTGACCAGCCAAGCTGCTCTATAACTACACTGCTAAGCCCTGAAAGAGTCATGTGAATGCAGATTCCACATGATGGCACAGACTTGCAAGTACAACTATATGAGTGGTTGCAAGTGTGTGCCACAAGCTAGGCCATGGTGACTTTAGCATGGGATGTCAGCATCCACATAAGAGGTTCACCAAAGAGCAGAATATTGAGATTTTAATATAGATGGACCGAGACCTGCCACTTGCTGAAAGGATTATGAAAATGGACCTCTCAAGCGGAAATAAGAGAACTGTAAGAGAGCAAGCAATAGTACAGATCCGCACAACATCCATTGTAACCAGGAGGAATCAAGCTGAGTTTGGCCACAGCAGTGGCTTTACTAGGTGCTCTGAGGAGCCTCTGATCTGGACCCTGGCAAGTGGCACAGAAATGAGGGTCTGTTGAAAATCCAAAAAGGAAACCTAGGCTGAGGAAGATCTAGGCATGGAGAAATGGAGGAAAGAGCTGGCAGAGATTTTTCCTTTTGCCAAAATCAGGTGCTATTTTCTATGTTATGTATATAGGATTTCATACACACACAGAGTGTTTTGCTCTCTCCCATCCTCCTTTATTCTCCTTTCAGATCACTGAGTCATGTTTAGTAGTACTGGAGGTTTTATCTCCCATTGATTCAGCCCATTAGATCCACCTTTGGACTTCTGCTGTTGGAATGGAGGCATTGCCACCATCTTATCTATGGGTTGCTGAAAAAGGCTTTGGGTAGAACAGTCAGTATTGATCTGTTCCAATAGGTTAGACTAATTACAAAAGCAAAAGGACTGGAGCAGATCGTTAACCACGTGACCATAAGTGTCCATTCTTAATCAAGATAATGCAAAATGATGGCATGGGCATTGTGACCCTTTCACTTGTTGTGTTGCATGTAAAGCAGGGTTCCTCAACCTCAGCAACTTTAAGATGGGTGGACTTCAACTCCCAGAATTCCCCACCCCACCACGCCCGCTCTGGGATTTTTTGGGGTGTAGAGCCTACCCCCTATAAATGCGTTGGGGTTGGGAA